CACACACACACACACCACCACACCACCACACCACCACACACACACACACACACACCATTTTTACTTTTTCATCACTTGGCCATTAGCTTAAATGACCGGTTAGGTTACAGAACAGACCCACCAACCAACCACCTGCTTTAAGATAAAAAAAATCTTTGAAAATCTGGGGCTAGATTCAGCCCTAGAATGATCTGTAGCACAAGGGTCCACAGGGGACGGTAAGTCTACCAGGACAGGGACTGTGACAGCTAACTAAGGGGCCTGGTGTGGGCTAGCATCTTCCCGAAAGTGGGCAAAGCCTGCTGTGGCAGGGAGAGTGAGGACAGCTGATTCTCAGAGAGTTTCCTATATAGCCTGAACTTCAATTTAAAGCTACCCATCTGCCTGGCAGAACCTCTGAGTAAGCAGCAGTGCAAAAACTGCCTGGGGCACAGTGTCCCCTGCTGGTTAAGACAGGCACGGTTTGCCTGCATTAGCAGGGATGAATCAAGCCTCTAGAATAAATATATATTCAGGGCAGAGCTCTTGTTCCATTTTTGTGGCTGTAAAAGTGGCTCTCTTTATATTACAGTATACTTCAAATAGCACTTCCATTTACATTCTGCCAAACTACTCCAAGAGACACACAATCAGGAAAATGTAAATGTATTGGAAACAAATTTCTGAAAATAGACTGCACCAAAACAAAACTACTGAACATCACTAGCTGTGAATTCAGCTGTCACAGAGGAACTCTATCAAAAAGCAAAGAGAGAAAACTCATGTCTAGGTGGGAGAACCCCAAAAATTCACATTAATGAACCAATAATGCCAATGACTGGACTTTGTGTGCACTTGCTGACTGATCTGCACAAAATAAAAAACAAGGTTCATGAATCACAGAATACACTTTGATCATTGAATTTGACAACTACAGATAAATTACTACTATATATTATACTTCATAGCCCATTAGAAGATTTACTAGCCATTAATTTTTAAAATAATGAATTCCTGCTAATTAATTTTTAAAATAATGGAGTTCAGTACAAGGCTTTGCTATTACATTTTTGCTGGGCAGAGACTACTAATTTTTGGTGTGAATTTGAAAGTATGCAGATCAGTGAGGTTCTACCACATATTTAAAAACAGAACAACTCTCGGAGTTTTGGATTAGCCACTTGTTGGTCAATCATTATAAAGTAATTTCATCCTGCATATGGGGCACTGTTTTATGAAATACAGGATTTAACTCACTTCATTTGTATTCCCCTCTTCCCCCTCCCCGCCCCCGTTTGCTTTCTGTTGCTATTCTAGCAAATGAGTTTGTTGACAGGCATGTTCATCTTAAGTGGATAGCTTATACTGGTGACTTTGCAGAAAGGGAATTGGAAAACATTTGGTTGGGCCATTCACTACAAGGCCCAAGATTTATTGTGCAATCTGATTACTTCTGTGTCAACAGAGGATGGGGGGGAAATTTTAGCCCAACAGAGGAAATGCACCAGGAACAGATGCAGGCCTTTGGGGAACGAGTTGGAGGGCAATGGATAGTAGGAAGGGAAAAATCTGTGATGTTCCCTGACCAGGGCTGTCATATTTAAAAAGGGTTAATGGGATGACCCAGGCAATTATAGGCCTGTCAGGCTGACATTGAATGCAGGAAAGATAGTGGAACAGCTGATACAAGATTCGATTAATACAGAATTAAAGGATGGCAATATAATTAATGCCAATCAACATGGATTTATGGAAAATAGATCCTTTCGAACTAACTTGATTTCTTTCTTTATTGAGATTACAAATTTGGCTGATAAAGATAATAGTGTTGATGTAATATACTTAGACTTCTGTAAGGCGTTTGACTTGGTACCGCACAACATTTTGATTAAAAAATTAGAATGCTATTAAATTAACATGGCATACATTAAATGGATTAAAAACTGACTGATAGGTATCAAAATAAAATTGTAAACAGGGAATCATCATCAAGTGGGTCTGTTTCGAGTGGGTCCTGCAGGGATTGGTTCTTGGCCCTACACCATTTTAAATTTTTACCAATGACCTGGAAGAAAACATAAATTTATCACTGATAAAGTTTGCAGATGACACAAAAGTTGGAGGAGTGGTAAATAAATCCTGCACATCACTGATATAGAGTGATCTAGATCGCTTGGTAAGATGGATGCAAGCAAACAATGTTTTAATATAGATACATCTAAATATTTATCTCTGTGAATAAAGAATGTAGGTCATACTTAGGATAGGGGATTGTACCTGGGACGCAGTGACTCTGAAAAAGATTTGGGGGTTATGGTGGATAATCAGCTGAACATGAACTCTGAGTGTAGTGCTGTGGCCAAAAGGGTTGCATAAACAGGGGAATCTTGAGTAGGAATAGAGTTGGTATTTAACACCGGTGTGACCGCTGCTGGAATACTATGTCCAGTTCTGG